GTACCTCAGACAATGCGTTTTGCATCGACCGGAACAAGTGATAATCACTTGGCGCTATATCTGGCGAATAGGCCGGGTGCGGTAGAACATCCCAACCAAGCGTCAATAATGTTTCTTTGACCGTTTTAGCGACATGAGGCCTAGCGTTGTCATGAAGCAATTTCACCGGACGCAATTCTTTGTCAGTATATGCACGTTTTCGAGGGATTTCTTCGTTCAATCTCAATAGTTGTCGACTATAGCGATCACCATCAACCGTTTCACGTGGTTGCAGAAGCTCATAATATAGCACACCCTGCATATCCCACCATATACAGAGCATTACCTTTTGGTCGTGGATATTCCGCTTTGGCGTTGATGTGGATGATTGGCCGGGGTTTACCCGTGATTTTTTTCCGCTTGGGATTATCGTAATATACCCACTTTTCATTACCCGTTACGATTTTCCACAGGAAAGACTTTCTGTGCTGTTTGTTGTACAGATTTAGACACATTTCGACACGGTTATCTTTGTTCTTCTGGCTCAATTCGTGTGGTACCCACTTTCCCTCGTTCTGAATCTTTTCCATCTTCCGTAAACGGTTGGAAACGGTTTGTTGCTTTACTCCCAGTTGTAATGCAAGTTCTTTTGCGTTTGGGACGAGTTTTCATCGAGTAATGCTTGCAATTCATCGTCCTCAGTCTTGAAAGGGGCTCCGCTACGTTCATGATCGCTAACGTCGAAATCACATTCTTTAAACCGTCTAAACCAAAATTTACACGTACTTTTGGATACAACATTGTCTCCAAGAGTCAAACAAATTGATGCACACGTTTTTGCGGCGCTCTTTCCTTGATGAAATTCATAGTGAATGCAGTGCCGAATAAATTGTTTCTCGTTTGCTATTTTCAAGCTGCTGCAATTTTAGGTTACACAAACAATATCGTGAAGTTGATTGTTATTTCTTATGTTACCATATAAACACTACAAAATCGGAAAAGAGCGGGAGAATATTTAAATTTTAAATTACTTTTTTATGTACAAAAAACGCTTTAAAACTTATTTGTATATATAATAAAAAACTAACATTTGTAAGCGTACTTTAAGTAATCACGCGATACGTACGATGCACCACCGATGGGTACGGCACGTACATCCACGACCAACACTATTATCAAATAGCAATGGCGATACCGGTAATTACGTAAACGTCTACTCGAAGATATTTATCGAGGATCTGTAAGGATTAAAAAACAGGACGGTATAGAAGGTGCAAACACAATAACAATATAACGATATTTATTAATATCAATAACACCCGCATACATATAACGAGGTAATGATTACCGAAAACACGACAGACGTGTTATCACAAGGACTACTCAGACGACAATGTTTTATACGCATGCCCTGACACGCTCAAGGATCGCCTATTGCATCAGCTAATCCTGATTGGCCCTAATCAAAGATGTTCCTACGCCTAGGACGCCAGACGCAGCGTATTCAGTGTTGCGATATGGGACCGGTTGTATGCGCATGTGCGGCAATACGGCGTCAGTACAGTGTCTCATACAAATTAAACAAGGCACCGTTACCCCGCTACATTAAAAATATTTCTAAATTTTTTTAAATTGATTGAAATTTTTTACTTCTTGGTTTTTAAGCTGCTGGCTCCGTAGATTCCATGCTTGTAAATAAATAAATCTTACCTTATTTGTAGTCACCAGACCTTCTCATGTCAAAACGTCCCGCCATACAGTCAACACATAACATATAACGGCACTGGATCTCCATCACCGCACATGCGCATACAACCGGTCCCATATCGCAACACTGAGCGTATTAGATAACTCGCGCGTGGTCGCGAGGACCGCGAGGACCGCGAAGGGATCGCAGTGTCGCACAATCGACGGCGCTGTATCGCGTTGCTTACACATTAAATCAATATATTCATGTACTAGAAAATTAGATCCTTAAGGCCATCACACACAAAATGACATAACTGCATATGCATAGCATAAGACTGTCTCGACCAATGAACATTTAGCATAAAGGCGCCATATTGATTTACATAGCATGCTCATTGGTCGAGACGGTCTTATGCTATGCATAT